GGCGTGGCTCGGCTCGCGCGCGAGGCGCCACGGGACCTGTAGTGCGCTTGCTCCGGGCAGCACGCGGCCAGAAGACCGTGGGACCTCAGCCCCCGACCTACACTGCGAGGCGGCGGGGGCGGGGCCCGCGATGTCTCCTGGGAGTCGTAGTCCCAGTCGCCCTGTCTCTGGCTAGTGGGATTCTGTAAGAGAGATGGAGCTCTAGCACTCGCGACTAACGGAAAGGAAAGGAGTGAGATTAGGTGACAAGACGTAGAGGATGAGGAAGAAAGTCTCTTCAGGAGTTGCGGCTTCCGGGAAAGGAAAGCCAGGAACCCTAGGGTTGGAAATGTGGGGGAGGAATGACTCCATACTCTGACAGCATGAATTTCCTCCGTCTGTGCGCGTCTGTGATCACGTGACCAGGCATTTAAAGGAAAAGCGAAGACGTCACGTGGGGACAGTGCCGGCCTAAGGCTTGAAGTGGCTTGATTTTTACGTTTCTGTGAAGTCGGGACCCCGACACACCTTTCCGAATTTTAATGGCTTTGTTTGTACAACGAATAAAAATAGGACCTTACGTGCTGTGGCAAATCCTGGCACGTTTTGAGTTTGGAAGTTTAAAATCACTCTAAAAAAGAAGTTAGCTATCACTAGGTCGAAATTTCCAAAGCTAAGGAATAACACGTAGCCTTAAGCAAGGCCAAATCTTCTGACCTATTAATTCTACTAGGGCAATAATATGAAATTCAGATAAATATGTAAGCAGAGAGGCATATTAACTAAAACATGAACAGTGATTTCCTTAAGTGATGAGATTTGAGATGACTTTGTACTAGTTTTATGGGGTTTTTTTCAAGGTTTTAGATCGTTTATTGATGCCGAGCTAGGTTTGCCAGATAAAATTTTTGTTTTATTTTAAAAGATGTAAGCACAAAAACCTACAGCAGTTTTATTTTTAGTAACAAAAAGGTTTTGAAACTAATGTCCAGCAATAGGGGAATGGTTACAGCCTTTAAAATATAAGTTTGCCGGGGGCACCTGGGTGGCTCAGTCGTTAAGCATCTGCCTTCCGCTCAGGTCATGATCCTGGGGTCCTGGGATCGAGCCGCTT